ACTTAGAACTAGTTATGACCATAAATTAGAGGTAGTGATGGTAAGGTAAAAAGCATACTCAGATAAAGGCACTTATGTAGACAGGTGCACCCAGCAACTGAAGCCAGAAAAGTGTTTTCTGCTATGAGCGGCCTAAACATGAAACACCCAGTGTTATGTACTGAAGTTATCACCCTGGGCCAGCAGGGGGATACTGTAGATAGTTTTCACTCAGGTCCACATATGGAAATAAGGGATTGAAAGTGATGTTCAGTGATTGGATAGTTACAGAAAGTGGTTACTGTTGCATTGTAGTGGAGCTCTATATAAGCAGGTTGGCTGAACCCTTCAGTTCTGTTCTGGCCTGTGAATAAACAAGAGCTGTTTGAAGAATCGCCGTGTCGTCTGATATGTTCACCCGCAACTTAACACAGAGGTTCGGATGCTCAGGCCTTTGTGCATTCTTCAGCTGCATTATTACAAGCAGCAGAGCTGGTGCTGGTCTTTGAATTTAGCATTCCCGAGAACCCAAGGGACCCTTTTTATTATTTAGAAAGGAAACCCCAGCCCTTAAGTAGAGTTGCCTTGTTTTCGCATGAGAGTTGTGTAAGCTTGCATAAGAACAAAGCTCATTGAACTCGGGACTTGCTTCTGAGCAAATATACAAAGATTTTAATTGTTTGGCCATTTAGACATCTTGCAAGAGGTCCTCATGGATAGACGACTTACTTCTTTTAGAAAACAGAGCAAAGTCTGTGTTACTAATGACTTCACTTAACATGATCCTCCTCCTGGGAAATATGTTCCCGCATATTAAGAGATCATAAGGCATGCTTTCTGTCTGGTTTAATATTTGCCTCTATTTATGTGTGGCTCTGTGGGTTAAACCACAGAGCCTAGGACTTGCCGATCAGAAGGTTGGCGGTTTGAATCCCCGCGACGGGGTGAGCTCCTGTTGCTCGGTCCCTGCTCCTGCCAACCTAGCAGTTCGAAAGCACGTCAAAGTGCAAGTAGATAAATAGGTACCATTCTGGCGGGAAGGTAAAGGGCGTTTCCGTGAGCTGCTCTGGTTTGCCAGAAGCAGCTTAGTCATGCTGGCCACACGACCCGGAAGCTGTACGCCGGCTCCCTCGGCCAATAAAGCGAGAGAGCGCCGCAACCCCAGAGTCAGTCACGACTGGACCTAATGGTCAGGGGTCCCTTTACCTTTACCTTTATGTGCACAAAACTGAACACACACGTCTCTGCAAACTGTCTCTCTTGTACCCCCCAGCAATCAGGGACAGTGGAGGCAGTAAACATTTTCTGACCCAAATCTGGCACAAGTGTCTGTCCCAAGTGCTCTGCTCTTTATAAAAAACAACTTTGCCCAAAGAATCCTAGGATATGTGGTGAGAGTGCAGAAAATCCTACGTTCAGATATTCCCATCCCCAGTCTAGGAACTGCAATTTCCAGGGTTCCTAAGGCCGAGGGAGTCACCATTAAAGGTCTGTAGTGCAACCTTTTTTTTCTGTCCCTGCAGTTTTATTCTTCCAGCCCATCAAGCATCTTTTCTACCCTTCCACCCTTTTTAAAGGTTTTTTTATGTGCTTGGCAGGCTTGTTTGGGAACAAAGAGGTTCCCCTCCCTGCTTCCCCTCTCTTAAAAATAACCTATGAGGCTCTTCTTTTGTCCCATTACATAAGCTAGGCAAGAACACAATCTATCGGCCATGGAGATCTCCCCTACACACACACAACGCATTTTCAGAGATAATTCATGGTGTCTCCGTGACATCAGCTGATAAGCTAGGAAGTGGAGAGGTGGAGGGGGGATTAATTAACTCACGATCCATTATGTCACCTTTGGAAGAAGAGTAGCTGCTTTGCAGCTGATGTCAAAGGTGGAATGATGGGTCACAAGTTAACAAGTGCCCTCCACCTCCTAGACACAGGTGTTTAGGCATGCGCCCTGTTGATCACAGCCTGAACCTGACCAGGGTTCAGAGAGGGGTGCGTTTAAGTGTGAGCGAGCTAACTGCATCTCATGTGTCTTGTCTGTGGTCCAAAATGACTTTGTGTCTGGACATTTATGGTATGGGTTACTCGCCTGTTCTTTTTACAGTCAAGGGCACTGCTAAATGCGGATCTTGTTACTATTTCATTGGCCTGGCCTGCTTGCCAAGTCCTTCCCCAAGAAACCCACAGTGTGGAGAAGTGTCTTCTCACCCTGGATGCCTTTCCCATTACGCCTGGCTCTTTCTAGATGGGGCTTTTCCATGGAGCTGTTTTTCCTCTCCTAAGCAGGTGACTTTGCACACGGGAGGCTTCTAAGGTTGGGGATTTAAAATAGAAAACCGATGCAGTTTTTGCACGGGAAAGGCAGGGATCCAAATTAGCGCTTCGCAGAACTACAATTCCCAAGAGTGGTTTAACAATCAGTCCTTCCTGGGAATTGTAGCTCTGTGAGGGAATTCTCAGCACTCTTAACAAACCACCGTTCCCAATATTATTTGAGGGAAGCCATGGCTATTTAAAGTTGCACGATACTGCCTTCAATGTATAGTGCATTTGGCTGCACACTCAACTTACATTTAAAGCACATTACTTCCTGCAAAGAATCTGGGAACCATTAGTTGTTGAGGGTGCTGGGAACTGTAGCTCTCTGAGGGGGTAAAGTACAGTTTCCAGATTCTTTGGTGGAAGTCACGTGCTTTAAACAGTTGGCGTGTAGGCAGCTTAGGAAGGTGTAAACTTTAGCAAAATAAAAGCGAGAGGTGCTGAGGGTTTCCTTATACAGTGGTACCTTGGGTTAAGAACTTAATTTGTTCTGGAGGTCCGTTCTTAACCTGAAACTGTTCTTAACCTGAGGTACCACTTTAGCTAATAGGGCCTCCCCCAGCCGCTGTGCCGCTGGAGCACGATATCTGTTCTCATCCTGAAGCAAAGTTCTTAACCTGAGATACTATTTCTGGGTTAGCGGAGTCTGTAACCTGAAGCATCTGTACCCGAGGTACCACTGTACTATATAACCCCAGATCCGTGTGACCATGACCTCAATCCTACACCCGCTTACTTGGGGCGTAAGCCCCAATGAAGACAGCGGGACAGAGTCCTGAAGAAACATACATCTGACGGCATTGTAACTTTGGGTTTATTCGGTAGTGGGGGAGAAACACTGCACATGTTCAGGAGAAATTAAGAGAACCGAAACAAAAAAACCCCAGTACTGAACTATGGCCTCTCTTGCAGTCTGCAGCAACCAAGCTGTTGTTTTTTTTTTGTATTCCAAAGGTTCCAGCAGGAGCCCGTGGTCTTTCCTTAGCCAGCATTCTTGCATGCCTCACCTCTGTCCCTGCGACAGCAGCCTGCACATGTGCACATACATTTAGCAGGGAACTTCTTTTTCTGGTCTGGAGATATGCAACTGGAAAAGCTGAACATCTTTAGTTTGTCAGACTTATCTTGAAGGAGCAGTAGCGAAGGGCAGTTAAAAAAAGGTGGCAACTCCCGGCTGAGAGAATGGCTGCTTCTTGAAAATACTGACGTGCTGGACCTAGAAGGTTTTAACAACGTATTTGGGTGGCATGCATATTTGTGGTATGATAAGGTTAAAGCACATAAAGCGTTTAAAAACCATATTGTCAGAAAAGCACTGTTTAATGTCTGGATAAGATATAAGGACTTGCTTGAAAATAAAACCCCAAGGTGGCTGTCACCAATGGAAGCGAAGGCTCAGAAAAAGCTCAATATGGAGGCCAGTTGGCCGAAAGATTGGGAAATTTTGGAACAAGAGAGAGACAGATTAAAACTGCAGAGTTTTGAAAAACTAAAAAATAGAGTGCGAGACTGGCTCCATTATTATCAAATAATGGAGGCGTACAATTTGGATAAAAAAATTGGTTTCCAGGTGGAAAAATCAAAATTGGAAACAGAACTGTTAGATCCCAAAACTAAGAACTTGTCAAGAATGTATAACTTGTTGTTGAAATGGAATACTCAGGATGAAACGGTGAAATCAACTATGATTAAATGGGCACAAGATGTAGGACATAATATTATGATGGCTGACTGGGAACAGTTATGGACCACAGGTATGAAGTTTACGGCATGTAATGCCCTAAGAGAGAATATAATGAAAATGATCTACAGGTGGTACATGACACCAGTCAAGCTTGCAAAAATATATCACTTGCCCGATAATAAATGTTGGAAATGTAAAGAGACTGAAGGTACATTTTTTCACCTTTGGTGGACGTGCCCAAGAATTAAGACATTCTGGGAGATGATTTATAATGAAATGAAAAAGGTATTTAAATATACCTTCCTGAAGAAACCAGAGGCCTTTCTCCTGGGCATGGTCGGCCAATTGGTGCCAAAAAAGGATAGAACTTTCTTTATGTATGCCATAACAGCAGCAAGAATACTCATCGCGAAGTATTGGAAGACACAAGATCTACCTACCCGGGAAGAATGGCAGATGAAGGTGATGGACTACATGGAACTGGCGGAAATGACTGGCAGAATCCGAGACCAGGGAGAAGAGTTGGTGGAAGAATATTGGAAGAAATTTAAAGTTTACTTACAGAAACATTGTAAAATTAAGGAATGTTAGAAGGATGTTGGAATGAAGTAATGTGGTTTTAGCAGAAATGCTATAAAGGATTAAGAAAAAACAGATTGTTAAATGATGAAAGGAGGGAAAGTAAAGTTACATTATATTAAGATAAAATAGAGGACAAAAACTGGAAAAGATGGAAAGGACTTGCTGAAATAGCTAATTGAACTAGAATACAAAAAAGGGAGGTGTGAGGAGGTCAAGGAAACAAGCAAATGAAAGATAAGTTATGGGAAGATTCATTGTATTTTTTTTCTTTTTTTCTTCATTGTGATGTGATGTTCTGTTTTTGCTTAATATGCTGTTTTCTATTTTTTCTTTTTGTAACCTTTCAAATCTTAATAAATATTATTTTAAAAAGAAAAAAGGTGGCAACTCCCTTTTCAAAACCCCTTTGGTTCAAACTGCTGCCCCGTCCTGATACCAGGATGCCGTGCCAGTGAGCTGTGACAGCAGAGACGTGTCTGTTCTGATGTTTCCATGCGTCTGGGCTGTGCGCCAGAACAGTGCCAAAGGAACGTCCCCCTGTCTCACGTGCACCAAAGTTGCCTCGGGCTCCCCAGCTCAGGTAACATGTAATTACGGATAAATAGCGGTGCGTTGCCAAGGAATAGGGTGTGTGAATGTCTCCTGAGCAGGATGTGAATGCCAGGCCTACATGTGGCAGCCAGGATGGGCTCCTGCTTGAACTCCTGAGATCGGCCTGTTTTGTGGGCAAATTGCAAAACAATCCCTTTCCCCTCAGGTCAGGCGGAGGTCAAGAGGGAAAGGCTGGTTGGGCAAGGATGAGGTGGGGGGGCACCCATGCGGTGGATTTTGGAGTGGCTCCCGATTACAGGGATGGAGGAGCATTGTTGGTGCATGGCAGAAAGAAGCCCCGAACGGAAAAGAATAAATAAACTAGCTGAAGCAGATGGCTGCTGAGAATGATTACAAGAACGCAGCAGGACCTGACCCTGGCAGATCATAAATAATGGGTGTTTGCTTACTCAGTGGTGCAAGTAGGGGGTTGCAGGTTGTGGCGATCTCACAGGGTCCCCGGAGAACGTACCTCCAGAACGAATTAAGTACTTAACCCGAGGTACCACTGTATTATACAATTGTACGGTTGGAAGGGACCACGAGGGTCATCTAGTGCAACCCCCTCCAATTCAGGAATCATCTGCCCAATTTGGGGCTCGAACCCACAACCCTGTGATTAAGATCCTCATGCTCTACCGACTGAGCTACCTCAGCTGTCTAGAAGTCTTTGACAGCTTGCACCTCCCTGAATTTGCCTAATTTCCTTTTGAAGCAGCCCAAGTTGACAGCCATCACTGTATCTTGTGGGAGCGAATTTCTAGAACGAAAGTTCCACCTCCTGCCTGAATCTTCCAACCTTCAGCTTCTTGGATGACCTCTGTTTCTAATAATATGGAGAGGTAGGAAAATGTCTGTCCACTGTCATAATAATAATAATAATAATAATAATAATAATAATAATAATTTATTTATATCCCACCCATCTGGCTGGGTTTCCCCAGCCACTCTGGGCGGCTTCCAACAAAACAGTAAAATACAACAACCTATTAAACATTAAAAGCTTCCCTAAACAGGGCTGCCTTCAGATGTCTTCTAAAAGTTTGGTAGTTGTTTTTCTCTTTGACATCTGGTGGGAGGGCGTTCCACAGGGCGGGTGCCACTACCGAGAAGGCCCTCTGCCTGGTTCCCTATAACTTGGCTTTCGCAGCGAGGGAACCGCCAGAAGGCCCTCGGCGCTGGACCTCAGTGTCTGGGCAGAATGATGGAAGTAGAGCTGGGGCTTTCTGTCACCCCAGAGTTGTGCAGTCAGAAAAGCCACATCAGCTAAGCGCCCTGCCATGCAAGTGCTAGAGACACACAAGCATCCTTCAAGGCCAGGAACCAACAGCCATGTTCCTGCAAGACTGCTCTGCAGGCAGTCTAGTGACAGCTGCGAAATCCTCATTGGTTACTACTCATCCCTACGAAAAGGGCTCTGCCACTGTTGTGACATAAATTAGCTCAATCACAGCCTCGTTTCTTTTCTCACCTAGGAGACGGCTGTGTTGCTTAGATACCTCCTGAGCTGCTTTGGGATGCATTCTGCTGTGCCCTAGAGAGGGCTTTTCTTTCCCCCCCCTTTTTACTTAAGGGAGCTGGATTCCATGACTGTGTAATGTGCAGGGGAAATCTATTTGTTTAAACCTACTATAGAAGTGGGTTTTAATTCCTGGGAGGAAAGTGCCTCCAAAACCAAGTCTGCTTACTGAATAGCTAAAGCTTTGCTATTATATTTAAGTGTACTGAAAGCCAAGAAAATTTTGACATCTAGATCAGGCATAGGCATACTCGGCCCTCCAGCTGTTTTAGCACTACAGCTCCCATCATCCCTAGCTAACAGGACCAGCGGTCAGGGATGATGGGAGTTGTAGTCCCAAAACAGCTGGAGGGACGAGTTTTTCCTGTGCCTGATCTAGATGCTGAGTGGCAAGAAGACACGGAGAGTAGCCAGATCTCCAAACTTTTGTATTTTTCCTTTTCTTTTTCTGATAAATAATTAGCCAAACTTTCGGAATGAAAGTCCACCACTCTTTAAAGAGCATTTTGTGCTCTCCCAGCATCAGACAACGGGCGCAGCAGTTAAATTCGGGTACCATAATAATCCTTATGGGAAATTATTATTCTCTTATGATCTGGAAGAAATGGAGGACACCATTATTCTCTCCCCCCCCCCATAAGATACAAATAAGGAGAACCCTATTCACACACCCCTGCCCTATTCAGTTCTAATGTGGCTAAAATGAGAACTTTGTCTACAGAGTTTAAATTTATCTGTGTATGTAACAATACTGTTGAGTACATACATCTGGGATTCAAGTAGTCTTTGTAATGAATTGATACACTGCGTGGGTGCTGGATATAATTGATACGATAGTTGTGTATGTGATATTGAGATAATCCTTATGGATTTGTTTGGTCACCTATAATATATTGCAAGGTTCATTTCCCTGCTGATTTGGGAGTAAACCCCATTGAATTCAAGGGGGCTTATCTCCAAGTAAACATGTCTGATTCTAAGCAGGTTTCCCAGGAAGGAAGTCTAACTGAGTTCAATGGGATTTAAGCAGACATGCTTAGGATCAGGCGGTTAAATTGCTCAGTTGGGTAGAGCATGGTGCGCATAACACCAAGGTTGCACGTTTGTTGCTTGTAAGGGACAGCTGCATATTCAATCCTGCATTGCGGGAGTTGGAATGGATGATCCTCAGGATCCCTTCCAACGCTACAATTCTATGATCCCTATGTAAGGTAAAGGTAAACTCTGGGGTTGTGGTGCTCATCTCGCTTTATTGGCCGAGGGAGCTGGCGTGCAGCTCCACTGGTCATGTGGCCAGCATGACTTAGCCGCTTCTGGCGAATCAGAGCAGCGCATGGAAACGCCGTTTACCTTCCCGCCGGAGCTATACCTATTTATCTACTTGCACTTTGACGTGCTTTTGAACTGCTAGGTTGGCAGGAGCAGGGACCGAGCAACGGGAGCTCACCCTGTCGCGGGGATTCGAACCGCCGACCTTCTGATTGGCAAATTGTAGGCTCTGTGGTTTAACCCACAGCGCCACCCGCGTCCCATATGATCCCTATGTAGATCTATGAAATTCACTATTCAGCTGCAGACCGCTACAATACACAGCTAAGGGTTAAGCACCATGTACAGGTGAAATGCAATCTAAGGGCTCATCCAGAATCACATTTTACGCAGCGTAAGTTGAAACCAATGAGAGTGTTACAAAGGGGAGCATTTGTGTCCTCTAATGAGCATGCCAGCCCAATTTAGAGGGGAAGTTCCTTTGTTATCTTGACTGCTGTTGAACAATGTGGGGGCCAGCACCCTTGCAAATCATCCAAGAGACCTAGCGGCAAATCCAGACCGACCTCCTGTCCACCCCATGCTCCTCTGCCTCGGCCTTCCTGTGCTTCCGTCCTGACAACGAAGAGGGAGGGAATGTTTGTGGCCAGCATTCGTCCATCAGGGGGAGCCAGCACTTTTGAAAGGCAGCCTCTTCTCTGCAGTTGGCAAGCAAGGGGAGAAAAACACATCTGAGTTGGCCGATGGCATCTGATTAGCTTCTCCAGGCTCTCCTGTTTTGTCATGCCAGAAGGGGGTGTTCTGCTTTCCCTGCCAGGCCTCCCACCCACATGGCCTTTGCCCAGTCAGATTCAGATCATTTGTTACGAGCCTGCCTTCGGTAACCACAACTCCAGCTGGAATCTGACAGCGATACTTTTTCTCCTGAGAAATCAGAAGTTTATTTTTATACGAACTTGAAAAAGACGTCGGGGCTGGATTCAACCACACGGTTGCACTTGCGGGAACCAGCACCACAAATCCCGCTAGTGAAACTTGGGCTTTTCATCTTCTCTCCCTCTGTGCCCCCCCAATTGTCTCTGGGAGAACCTCCTAGAACAGCATGCAGCGAGAGGAGAGGGGAGATTGTTCCACCTGGCAAGCAGAAATCCTTGTGCAGATAATAATAATAATTTATTATTTGTAACCCGCCCATCTGACTGGGTTGCCCCAGCCACTCTAGGCGGCTGCCAACATAATTAAAAACATAATCAAACAGTAAGGTAAAGGGAACCCTGACCGTTATGTCCAGTCGCTGACGACTCGGGGGTTGCGGCGCTCACCTCGCTTTCTTGGCCAAGGGAGCCTGCGTTTGTCCACAGACTAAGCTGCTTCTAGCGAACCAGAGTAGCACACGGAAATGCTGTTTACCTTCCCACCGGAGCGGTACCTATTTATCTACTTGCACTTTGACGTGCTTTCGAACCCCTAGGTTGGCAGGAGCAGGGACCGAGCAACAGGAGCTCACCCCGTCGCGGGGATTCGAACCTCCAACCTTCTGATCAGCAAGCCCAAGAGGCTCTGTGGTTTAGAGCCTAATCAAACAGTAAGCATTTGTATAATAATACAGTGATACCTCGGGTTACAAACACTTCAGGTTACAGACTTTGCTACAGGCTACAGAAATCACGCACCAGCGGTGTGGCGGCAGCAGGAGGCCCCATTAGCTAAAGTGGTACCTCAGGTTAAGAACGGTTTCAGGTTAAGAATGGACCTCCGGAACAAATTAAGTTCGTAACCAGAGGTACCACCGTAGACAAATCCAGTCTTCACCACCGGATGCTCCTTTGTGTTTTTATGAACAGAGAATTATTCCTCTTTGTCAACAGTGGAGGCACTTTCATTACAATGTTAGATTCACACAGTCTTTCCATGGAAACCTGGGAAAATGCCTGCTTATTTTTTTGCATTTCTGACATATGTAGAAAATACAATGGTATCAGCGCAACACTGAATTCCATCCCTGGTGTCGAAATGGACTTCCCCCAGTGTATGCATTTTAATAATTGCATGTATTAAATAGTCCCATGGTTGTGATATAATTACTATTTACATATAGGATAGAGGTTTCTCACCTGTGTTCAAAGGCAGGGGCTCCCAAACTGCTCCACGGACCCCTAGTGGTCCACAGTCTTCATTCAGGTGGTCCATGGTGTGTCTATGAAATGCAGCAGGCATAATGCATTAAATATTTGTATTGATGTTTAATTGTATTGCTTCTTTTATTTCTTATATTGTATGTTATTTTTGTTGTCTTTTGTACTGTAGTCTGTGGAATCTAAACTATCACACTAAAATGCAGTATAAGAAATAAAAGAAGCTAACACCCCAGAGGACAGGATCACACTTCAAAACGACCTTGACAGATTAGAGAACTGGGCAAAAACAAACAAGATGAATTTTAACAAGGAGAAATGTAAAGTATTGCACTTGGGCAAAAAAAATGAGAGGCACAAATACAAGATGGGTGACACCTGGCTTGAGAGCAGTACATGTGAAAGGATCTAGGTGTCTTGGTTGACCACAAACTTGACATGAGCCAACAGTGTGATGCGGCAGCTAAAAAGCCAATGCAATTCTGGGCTGCATCAATAGGAGTATAGCATCTAGATCAAGGGAAGTAATAGTGCCACTGTATTCTGCTCTGGTCAGACCTCACCTGGAGTACTGTGTCCAGTTCTGGGCACCACAGTTCAAGAAGGACACTGACAAACTGGAACGTGTCCAGAGGAGGGCAACCAAAATACAGTGGTGCCCCGCAAGACGAATGCCTCGCAAGACGGAAAAACCGCTAGACGAAAGGGTTTTCCGTTTTGAAGTTGCTTCGCAGGACGAATTCCCCTATGGGCTTGCTTCGCAAGACGAAAATACCTTGCGAGTCTTGAGGTTTTTTTCGCTTTCCCCCTTTATCTAATCTGCTAAGCCTTTAATAGCCTTTAATAGCCTTTTAGCAGCTAATCCCCTAAGCCTTTAAGCCTTTAATAGCCGCTAAACCGCTAATAGCGCTAATAGCGCTAATCCGTCAATGGGCTTGCTTCGCAAGACGAAAAAACCGCTAGACGAAGACTCTCGCGGAACGGATTAATTTCGTCTTGCGAGGCACCACTGTAGTCAAAGGCCTGGAAACGATGCCTTATGAGGAACGGCTAAGGGAGCTGGGCATGTTTAGCCTGGAGAAGAGGAGGTTAGGGGGTGATATGATAGCCATGTTCAAATATATCAAAGGATGTCACATAGAGGAGGGAGAAAGGTTGATTTCTGCTGCTCCAGAGAAGCGGACACGGAGCAATGGATCCAAACTACAAGAAAGAAGATTCCACCTAAACATTAGGAAGAACTTCCTGACAGTAAGAGCTGTTTGACAGTGGAATTTGCTGCCAAGGAGTGTGGTGGAGTCTCCTTCTTTGGAGGTCTTTAAGCAGAGGCTTGACAACCATATGTCAGGAGTGCTCTGATGGTGTTTCCTGCTTGGCAGGGGGTTGGACTCGATGACCCTTGTGGTCTCTTCCAACTCTATAATTCTATAATTCTATGATTCAATAAAAAAAATCATGCAGCATCTAGCATGGCATACTACTGTTGCTACTGCTGGCAGAAAAATCATCCTGTGGTCCACCAGGATCTTCAGCAGTTTTCAAGGGGTCAGTGAGCGGGTGGCAGAGCAGCACTGCTCTAGGGCCAGTGTATTTCAGATTCTCGTACACCTTAAGAAGGAAGGTACAACCTCACTTGAGGAGATTTCACCCCTCCCATATCCAAGAATCTCCTGAGGAGTCTGCTGATTCTCCAGAGAGGAGGAGGCGTGTTCTGCTCTCTACTTATTCTGCTCCAGCACCGAGTCAGTCAGTCAGTCAGTGTCGGGGAGAGAGAGAGAGACTGAGTGTTAGAGATTGTGTGTAGAGATAAGGTTGCTGCTAAGAGCATCTGCAGACACTCAGTGCAGTGCAGCATTCATTTATAGACCTATTTAGCTCTGTATATAGTTGTATTATAGTTGTAGTTATAGAATAAAGAAGATATTCTACAGAGCTGCTCTCCGAGTTGTTTATATACTCTGCTAGAGTCTGCTGTACTCTGCTGTGCGACGACTGTCTTCTTGTGGAAGTGAATCCGGTGCTCACAACTCTAAGCTGTGAGTCCACAGCACTTTGACCTGTTCCTGTGCAGAAGGTGGTCTCTGGAAGTGCTGCCCAGCCCAGTCGGGGCTGAAGTGGATGAGTCCAGTTGGTGGCACTGGCTCAAGGACGATGCTGACATCACTTGCCCAGTATCACTGCCCATTCCAAATACACGCCCTAAGCTGAAGCTGTTGTTTGTCTCAAAATTATATATACCTTCTTTGATATGTGGGCAGATAGTTCAGAAAGACAGCCAGGTTGAATGTGGAAGCGGCTAGTTTGATACACCCTGTGGGCATTCCGAATTATAAATAGCCATGGCAAGATTGGGAATCTAGATTTCAGACATGTGCCAGAGGATGGGTTTCACTTGCTCTCTGCCAGAGAATCAATGAGTGAGAAAATGTGGCCAGTGCTGGCGCCTGGTCTCATCAGAGGGATGGGGCCAGCATTTTCAACCTCTTAAATGGAGGAATCACTAATAACATTTTAGCTTCATTCATTGGCCTCTCCATCCAACCCAGAGGCTTTCCTAATACAGCCCTGGTTCTCTGAGAACAAGGTGCCAGTTCTGGTCACATGGTGGCTGACAAGAAAGAGGTGGCTGCTGGTTTTAGTGTTTTGTTTTGTTTTTAATTGGCCACTAGTTTGGCTGAATATTTACAATCCAGTTGCTCTACGTTCCTTTGCTTGAGGAAACAGCCTCTCTCGGCCTATGGTGAAGCTCTGTGTCTGGGCATAGTGTTACGGCTGCATTCTCTGAATTCAAATATAGCTTTTAAAATTATTTGGCGAGGGGGAAAAGAAAGGTCAATGATGTGCTGTGAAAAGGAAGGCCTGTTCATTGTTATGAGTTAGGGCTGGGCAATATAATATCATCCAAAACTGGTTTGAAGTCCATATCACGATAATTTTTGACCTGGCAAAATATTGCGAATCATGATGCATGCGTGCGTGTGCAATGCAAAAGTCACAGTGTGGGGGGAAATGTGAAGTCGGCTAATGCCTCTACCTAGCTCCATCCTTGTTGGACATCATATCAGTATGTCGCAATGTTTAGACGGTGATACTGTATATTGCGATGTTGGAAACCAGATATCAAACATCCCTAGTGGGGGGGGGGGAGTAGGCTGTATGCAGTGACCCTTCTAACCCCTGAATCTTGTTGTTCAGTCGTTTAGTCGTGTCCGACTCTTTGTGACCCCCTGGACCAGAGCACGCCAGGCACTCCTGTCTTCCACTGCCTCCCGCAGTTTGGTCAAACTCATGCTGGTAGCTTCGAGAACACTGTCCAACCATTCTCATCCTCTGTCGTCCCCTTCTCCTTGTGCCCTCCATCTTTCCCAACATCAGGGTCTTTTCCAGGGACTCTACTCTTTTCTTGAGGTGGTCAAAGTATTTGAGCCTCAGCTTCACGATCTGTCCTTCCAGTGAGCGCTCAGGGCTGATTTCCCTAAGAATGGATAGGTTTGATCTTCTTGCAGTCCATGGGATCTGAATCTTCTTGCAGTCCATGGGAACCCCTGAATCTAGCAAGTGTTAAATGTAAGCTAGTTTTCTATGCTGGTAAAGGTAAAGGTAAAGGGACTCCTGACCGTTTGGTCCAGTTGTAGACAACTCTGGGGTTGCAGCGCTCATCTCATCTGGCTGAGGGAGCCGGTGTTTGTCCGCAGACAGTTTTTCTGGGTCATGTGGCACGGAAACGCCGTTTACCTTCCCGCCAGAGCGGTACCTATTTATCCACTTGCACTTTGACCTGCTTTCGAACTGCTAGGTTGGCAGGAGCAGGGACCGAGCAACGGGAGCTCACCCCGTCGCGGGGATTTGAACCGCCGACCTTCTGATTGGCAAGTCCTAGGCTCTGTGGTTTAACCCACAGCGCCACCCGCATCCCTTTTTCTATGTTGAGGTGAGGCCATTAAGTGAAACAAAGGAAAGGGGCTGTGTGCAAGATGGCAAATGAGTGGGGCCAATTGTCCATCTCATGGTTGGTTGGTTGGTTGGTTGGTTGGTTGGTTAGAAGAACAAAGCCAGGAGTTGGGATTGCAGTGATGCGACCTGGAAGAAAAGCAGCAAGCTGGAGAGAGAGAGTCGGAGCAATTGATTCAGAGCAATGTTTGCTTTCTGTTTGAACCCAGGGCTGCCACTGTGGGAGAAACAAGATCCTGCTGGGGGTGTTGATGCTGTGAACCCCTCCATCTTAGGTTGCATATCTGCATAAATAAACCATACATCATAAAGATACCGCGGTCTCTGCTGTGCCTCATTCCGAAAGGAAACACAAACCCTGGTGGAATCTCGCACGGCTTGGAGATTGGGGTGTCACACAGCAATATTGAACCTCAAGGATTTGACCCCCACCTTCGCTATACATTTCAAGCCGTGTCATACCACACTCTTCCTCCTCTCAGGAGGCGCTATAAGCATTTGCAGAGATAGAGGTGGAGCTTTTTTAAAAGCAGCTTCTGATTCTTTGGCCTAGAGCAAGTGAAACCCATCCCTTGGCGCATATCTGAAATGTAGGGTTTGCTCCAAGATAAAGAGTCGTAGCTATTTATAATGTGTCCAGAAGCCGGTGGCAGGAGATACAGGTCTGAGGCAAAGCCTGGTGGCTCAGCGTAGGCAGGTCTTCCGCTTCACAACACATCCATGTCTTCTTTCTTCTCTCCAATAATTTAAATAATTTTTAATAATTTTAAAAGCCGTTCTAGGAAATGCCAATGCATTTCAAAATTTGCATCAAACTTGGACTCCTGTAATAATCCAGTGCTTCCAATAAGCATCATGGGGGGGGGGATGTCCTAGGAAAGCACACTATTCCAACCAGCTGAGGGCAGACTTTCTCTCCCTTTGGCACGATTTGGGCAGTGCCCCTTGCTGCATGTACAGTACAGTCAGTGGGCAGTGGAGCAGGGGAAGGCGGAGGAAAGAGGGAACATTGCCACTTCCAGAGTTCTATGGCACTTGCATAGGAATCGCCGTGTGCAGTTCACGTGTGCATGCTAGACATTTAGCCATTTTAGCCACGGGGCACAAAAGTGCTCTCTTCACAGGGCGCCATCGGTGGAATCCTGTTACGGCATCTTACCAGGGACGCTTCCCCCGGCTTCTGCTGACTCAGGTGGGATTGGCTTTGCATCTGACAGTATAGTTTGCATGGGATTACAGCTGTTACCACCTCTGCGCATAGCTGGGCACACCGCCTGGCAGGGGAAAACTACACCATGATTGATTAGCGTGTCGGGCCCAAAATAATAACCTGCTGATTGCATCACTTCTGAACATGAGGTGTTTGTCATGCCACCTTTAGTAGGTCACCTTCAATCCCAGGCGGTGAGCAAGTGTGTCTATAGAGAGATTTCACCCCATATATCAAAAGCAGGGAGGCAGCAATAACCCCCCCTCCTTTTTCTGAAGGACCAACATCTATTGTTTTAAAAACATGGGGGGAAATGGTGGTTCCTTAATCTCTTTGGGAAGAATGGTTGAAAGGCAATAATTTGATGACGATCGAAACAAACCAGTTGAAAAGGTGGTGGTTTTTCTACGTTTCAAATAGGGATGTTGCGTCAATCATTTCCCAGTACAGTAGTACCTCGGGTTACAGACACTTCAGGTTACAGACTCCGCTAACCCAGAAATAGTACCTCGGGTTAAGTACTTTGCTTCAGGATGAGAACAGAAATCACGCGGCGGCAGCGGGAGGCCCCATTAGCTAAAGTGGTACCTCAGATTAAGAGCAGTTTCATGTTAAGAATGGACCTCCGGAACGAATTAAGTTCTCAAGCCGAGGTACCACTGTAAAGTGGTACCTTGGTTTACAACCATAATCCATTCCGGAGGTCCGTTTGTAAACCAAAACAGATTGTAACCCAAGGCACTCTTTCACCAATGGGGCTTCTCAAAAAAATATGTTCATAATAATAAAAAATGGGTTGTAATCCAAAAAAAGGTTGCAAACCGGGACACGTACTTCCGGGTTTGTCGTGTTTGTAATCCAAAACGTATGCAAACCAAGACATATGCAAACCAAGGTACCACTGTATCATATTTTGAACTGCAGGAGTTTTTCTTCTCATATCTATTCCAGCTCTTGTGAGAACAAGTGGGAACCCTCACCTTCTAACAGGATTGGTCTTCTTCAGGGTATCATTCTTTCCCACCCTTTCCTTTCGATTTTTCTTTTCCAACAAGTACCCAACATCCTGCAGAATGGAGGCGAGCAATTGGGTTAAACCACACAGCCTAGGGCTTGCCGATCAGAAGGTCGGCGGTTCGAATCCCCGCAATGGGGTGAGCTCAGTCCCTGCTCCTGCCAACCTAGCAGTTCGAAAGCACGTCAAAGTGCAAGTAGATAAATAGGTACCGCTCTGGCGGGAAGGTAAACGGGCATTTCCGTGCGCTGCTCTGGTTCGCCAGAAGCGGCTTAGTCATGCTGGCCACATGACCCGGAAGCTGTACGCCGGCTCCCTCGGCCAGTAAAGCAAGATGAGCACCACAACCCCAGAGCTGTCTGCGACTGAACCTAATGGTCAGGGGTCCCTTTACCTTAAAAGGGGGGGGGGGAATGAGGTCCCAAGCAACCACCAAGTGGTCTGCTTGACATCGATACCAGGAAAGGTATTAAACAGTTGGTGTGCTGGTCCCGAGGGTTAACCGTGCGGCAAGGTCCGAGTCCAGTCCGAGGTCAAGGGTGCAGTTTGGAGGCTGTCCGTCAAAGCTGAAGCTGGGTCCAAGGCAGGGAGTCGGGTGAGGTCAGGAACTCTGGCAGAAGAGCAGGACAGGGTGCAGGCAGGAACAGGCTACCAACAATGTTGCTCCTGCAACCTGGGACTAGGGCTGGCTGGCTTTTATCTGCCCCGAGGCATAGGGTGGCCCCGGTCCACAGGTGACTCGCCTCTCCTGGCCTGGAGGCGAGCACTTGTCCTGCGGAAACTTAGTTCCCTCCGCCTCTCTGCCCTGAGCCTCTGCAGCTCAGAAGAGGCTGGAGGGTTACTGGACCCAGGGGCAACCTCAGCTTCCTCTGACGGGGCTGAGAGTGGAGCACCTGCAAGCAATGGGTCCTCCATCACCTCAGGAGCCAGAGCAGACTCAGCTGGTGCCTGCACCTGAGGATCCAGCACAGGTGAGGACCTTTCAGGCTCAAGCCCCAGCCCCGGCTCAGCTGGTTCTGGAGGCGGGGACTCCTGTGCAGGCTGGGATTCCTCAGGTTCAGCCTCCGAGTCCGAATCCCAGGCCATCACAGTTGGTCTGTGAGCACTTAGAGAAGGATGTTGTGATTATGAAGAGCCAGCATGGGTTTCTTAGAAACGTGCCATATATATTTTTTAATATAGAGTTACAAGTGGTGGATCAGGGGAATGTTCTGTATGTAATGTACAGTGGTGCCTCGCAAGACGAAATTAATTCGTTCCGCGAATTTTTTCGTCTAGCGAATTTTTCGTCTTGCGAAGCACGAAATCCCATAGGAATGCATTGAAAATCAATTAATGCGTTCCTATGGTCAAAAAAAGTCCAAACAAAGCCAAATTTGGTACAACAAGAGTTTATTAAGTGCTCTTTAAAGTCACACATACTGTAAAGAGCATTTCAAAATTCAAACCCAGAATTTTTTTAAAAAACAGCAGAGTTGCCCAATGGTCACAGAAAATCATAAAAATGCAGAAAAAAACAAGCTTCCAGATTCTTGCAAACCCCTCCCCAACACCAAGTCCTTGAATTCCAAACACCCCAACCCAAAATCCAACCCCCTCCCAAAAAAAGTTTTAAAAGCTTAACTTACCAAATGGCTGCAAAAGAAGTTTTGGAAAAGCTTCAAAAATCACCAAAGTCTTTAAAAACCTCAAAAAGGCTACCATGGACACTGCGTTCTATGAGTTGCTCCGCGAAGTCACGTCGCAACGGAATCAACGGTGTTTAGAAAATCGAAACAACCGTGCAAGACGTTTTCGTCTTGCGAAGCAAGCCCATAGGGAAATTCGTCTTGCGAAGCAGCTCAAAAAACGGAAAACCCTTTCGTCTAGCGAGTTTTCCGTCTTGCGAGGCATTCGTCTTGCGGGGCACCACTGTATCTTGATTTCAGTAAGGCTTTCAACAAAGTCCCCCGTGATATTCTTGCAGAGAAGTGGGTAAAAGTTGGGCTAGGCAATGTTGCTGTTAGGTGGATTAGTAGCAAAGAATGCTCACCAATGTTTCCTTGTCCTCCTGGGGAAAAGTGACAAGTTGGGTGCCACAAGGTTCTGTCCTGAGCCCAGTGTGTTGTTCAACATCTCTATCAAAAATGTGGATGAAGGAATAGAGGGGCTGCTAATCAAATTGGCAGATGGCACCAAACTGGAAGGGGTAGCTAATACCTCAGAAGATAGCATCAGGTTTCAAGAATCGCTTAACGGATTGGAGATCTGGGCCAAAACTAACAAAATGCATTTCAATAGGGACAAATGTAAGGTTCTGCACTTTGGCAGGAATAACCAGATGTGCAAATATAGGATGGAGGACACTGAGCTTGCCAATAGTACATGTGAAAAGGGTCCAGGGGTCTCTTTAGACTACAGTGGTACCTTGGGTTAAGTACTTAATTCGTTCTGGAGGTCCGTACTTAACCTGAAACTGTTCTTAACCTGAAGCACCACTTTAGCTAATGGGGCCTCCTGCTGCCACCGCGCCGCTGGAGCATGATTTCTGTTCTCATCCTGAAGCAAAGCTCTTAAACTGAAGCACTATTTCTGGGTTAGCAGAGTTTGTAACCTGAAGCGTATGTAACCTGAAGC